ATGTGACGTCGTTATCGGCAAGATCGTTATGTCTTCTTTTGCTCCTCCCCTATCTATTTTATGTGTTTTAATTTTCCATCTGTCTATCCCTTTCTCTTTTTCCTACATCCAGTCTCTATCCTTCATCATTTTCTCTCTTTCTGTTTATCGTCTCTTATTCAAGCCAAATAATACAGAGTCACAAATAAGGAGCGAGAAATCAATGATTATTGAGACAACGGCCTCGCCTAGAGAAAAGAAAAAATAATAATATAGAAAATCTAAACGAAAGCTTCAGATATATAAGAAAACGAATGAAAATCGAAAATATTATAGAAATGAATGAAAAACGAATGAAAAACGAATGAAAATCGAAAATATCGTGGATGTTAGAAAGGAGGGAAAACCGGTTGAAGCAAAACATTAAAAATAAATGAATGAATGCAGAAAAAAATAAAACGGATAAAAAATAATGAAAGATTTACCTCCCTTATTTTTTGCAAATATATTCGCCATTTTTGTCTTAGAGCCGCAGTTTGTTCATTGCTTTCAGAGCTTGCTTTTTGGTTATTATCAGATATGAAAGAATGTGTATCGAGAATAAGACAAAAAAGAGACAACAACAACAACAAAAAAATAAACACCGAAATAAAATGCCATAAGTAAATAAAAGCCATATGAAATGAATTAGGAAAAATTTCCTCAACTTGAGAAACGAATGTATAATCTTTCTACACTGTTCTCAAATGTTAATAGTGAATGCATTTTCAAATAATAATAATAATAATAATAATAATAATAATGCTGATAATAATAATAATAATAATAAACTAATTTTTCTTTTTTGATCCTTTGTCTGTGCGTCGTTCTTCTATTCTTTCTGGTTATTGCTAGCAAAATCGAATGAGTAAATTATGAGATGCATAAGAGACTTCAGGAATATTGGATAATTTCCAATGGCCATGGAGCCGTGAAAAGTCTCTGTGAATGGGTACAGTCTTGCAAAGGTTTGGGTGCTGAAAATATCTCGCTAAATTTCATTTTCCAAATACTAACCAAAGGGCCAAAAAGTGGATAATTTTAAGTGTTTCTTGGTCAAACCAAGAATTTTTCAGAACCTTTTTTTTTATGGCAGACTCACCGAGAAGGTACTTGGGTAAAATTTACTTCACTTAATCAACTCTGGATTCAACCGATTTATTCCAGCTACTGTTTTCTTCTTTGATTGTTAAAAGGAATAGCCTAGAAATTAGGGCACGATGAACATTTCTGAGAGAAGCCTGATAAATTACTGTACAGCCTTGGAAACTGTTGAGGTAGACTTTTTCTAATCATGGAATTGCAAGGGTCAACATGTTGGACGAGTGTAGAAACTCATATATGGAATCAGTTCCTAAAGATGATGAAAAAAAAATCTTTTTCTCATTCTACAGAAAATACATGATTTCCTTGTCTCCTGTTGGTATTTACAAGTGTCAGTTCAGACAAAATCTGGAATTCATTAAAGCCATATCTGACCTCGGGTTAGAAAAACGTTGGCCTCAATTTAAACTGACTATTCTCCTTATATCTAAAAAGAAATTACATTTTTTAAAGTCTCACTGAAATATGTTGGACATTTTCAACGATCCATCAAAGATAAAGCGAGGTTTATAATGGTGACAGTACGGTATTTGTTAAGGTAATAATTCAGGAGTGTAGAAAACAATTCATCCCAAACAAGGAAACGGGGCGCTTTTGAACTCTATCTAGATTGGAAAGTGAGGTCAGGGCTGTTCCTGCCCAATTATGGCGACATTACTCCATTTTTGACCCACACAAACGTAGAGGATAGCACGATGACTCAGCTACTTTCTAGAGCAGTAGAGGGACCCGATCACTTTACCTGCATCTTTTTCGATGGATCGTATATGGGAATTCCTGTTGATGTCGTATGTGAATTTGCGTCCCAATATCCTTTTGAGGCATGGTACCTCCTCCAGGGGACATCTGTTCATCGTGACTGATGGTAGTTCGTGATCTGATCGGCGGTGATGGAATGAAACCACTTTAGTTTTAGAGGCATTGAACATAACCAAACAGTTTGTTCCACACTGGGAAGTTATTGTTAGATGAAAAGGGAGGTCAGATGCCAATCTCTGATCATTAAGACTTTTAGAGGTTCACCCTTTTACCGTCCTCTCATAAACATTTACAAATGGTCGGACTTATATACGATACAGCCATATCTAACCTAGGGCTGAAAAAATATTGGCTTTAGATTTAAACTGACTTTTGTCCATATATGTAAACAACAAATTATATTATGGAAAGTATCTTTGAAATATATTGGGAATGGTCATCAAATATTGATAAAAGAGGTTTATACTGGTACCGGCTGTGTATTTGTTCAGGTAATAATTTAGTAGTGTTGGAAAACAATTCTTTTCCCACAGGTTTACGGAGACGCTTTTAAGAACTCTTTCAAGTATAGAAAGTTAGTTCTTGGCTAACCCTGTTCAAATATGGCAACAATATTCGATATTTTGCCTGATCTCGTTCTCACAAAGCTAGAGGATAGCATGAAGTTTCGGATACTTACTAGATCGTTAGAGCGTACCGATAATTTTACCTGCGTCTTTTTTGATGGACCGTAGGAATTCCAATTGAGGTCAGGTGTGAATTCGATGCCCAATATCCTGTCGATGGGGACATCCGTTCATCGTATCTGGCGGTAGTTCGGGATCAGATCGTCGGTGATGGGATGAAACCTGTTTAATTTTAGAGGCATTGAAAGTAACCAGCCGGTTTGTTCCAGACTGGGAAGTTAGGATTGGATCAGAAGAGAGGTATGATGCCAGTCTCTGATCGTTAAGACTTTTAGAGGTCCACCCTTTCCTCGTCGTATTATAAAAGTTTACAGATGGGCGGGGGTATATACCTTGCAGCCATATCTGACCTAGGGTTGAAAAAACGTTGACTTTAGTTTTAAATTAACTTTTGTCCATATATTTGAACAACAAATTACATTATGGAAAGAATCACTGAAATATGTTGGAGAATTTACAAATCTGCATTTGAAATCAAGAAAACACGAACCAAATGGTCATCAAATATTGAGAAAGTGAGGTTTATACTGGTGCCAGTAGGGTATTTGTTCATGCAATCATTTTATAAGACGCTAGCCTCCTGTTAACGAGACGAAAAGATAATCAAAGGGAGGTAACTTTTTTGACCATTAACACTGATTAGAGAGTTCGAGCTTCGGTGGTTACACCGTATATATAGTTTTTCATCAGAATCTAAGGTAAATTTATTAAATAATAATTATTCCGGTGTACGTTAAAAAGCTAAGTTGATTGATTTGTTTACTACGCCTCATCAAATAGTTACCGAATATTTAAAGCCAGGAAATATTTTTAGATTGTAAACCTTATTTTCTTTGAAATAATAATGATTTTAATGATAGAAGTCTTAATAATTAACCTATAGATGGGGGATGAGAAGATTAGGATTCATATATTTCTCAAGTGTATTGGCGTGTAAATGAGTATAAGAATTTTAACTGGATTTGGAATTCAGCTCTCAAAAAAAAAAAAAAAAAAAAACGTAACATTGTCAATTAAACCGCCCGTGCATCAAAGCTGTATTCCCATTCGGTCACCCATCTAGATACTGACCAGGCTCGACGTTGCTTAACATAGGTGATCATACGAAAACCAATGTTTCATCGTGATATGGCTGTATGACATGCCACTTGCACATACACGCTTACAGCAACTGGTATTCCCAATTGGTCACTATTCTAAGTACTGACCTGGCTAGACGTTTCTTAACTTTGGTGATCGTACGAAAACCAATGTTTCAAAGTCATATGGCCGTAAGTCATGCCACTTGCACATCCAATCCCATAGCACATGGTATTCCCAATCGGTCACCCATCTAGGTACTGACCAGGCTCAACGTTGCTTAACTTCGGTGATCGTAAAAATTCCAATGTTTCAACTTGATATAGCCGTAAGTCAAGCCATTTGCACATCCAATCCTACAGCACCGGGTATTCCCAATCGGTCACCCATTTAGGTACTGACCAGGCTGGACGTTGCTTAACTTCGGTGATCGTACGAAAACCAAGGTTTCATTGTCATATTACGTAAGACATGCCAGTTGCACATCCAATGGTCACCCAACAAGGTACTGACCAGGCTCGACGTTTCTTAACTTCAAAATAGTGAGTCTTGTTCAACACCATTACCATGTCCTCACCTTTCTTGTCGTGATAGAGTTCAAGTGGGGCTCCGGGTTCTTGTGGGCGACGAATTATTTCCTACAGTCAAGCCTCTCTCTCCCAAAGGCGGGATGCGGTGAGCCTGTCACTGATCTATCGTTACTTCTATGAAAAGTGCTCAGGCGAACTACATCGCTTGGCTCCGCCAGGTCGAACATTCACGACTAGGATTCAACATGTCACCAACATTGTCGCAAACTACTATGATTCCCTCCGTATTCCATCGTTGAGAAACTCCACTGGAACACTTTCTTCCTGCGAACCACTGCTCTGTGAAAGCGACTATGAAGTGGATGATTCCCTGATGAATACATTTGGGAGAACATAACTAAACACTGGGAAGAATCTTAACCTATTCAAGCCTCGTATTAACCGTTATAACGCATCCTGTCCGTATAACCCTCTACATGGAGCGGCCTCCGGGCCGTGTACACACTCTTTAGTCCTGTTCTCCCGAATAAGACCTCCCATAGAGAACATGACTAAATACTGCGTGTACACCATCCCGTGCAGCTGCGGAAAGAAATATAAAGGGCCGGCAAGTCGCCCCCTTAAGGTAAGGTTTCAAGAACACCAAAAAGCTGTAACACGAGGGGAAGTCGAAAAATCAGGCGTGGCTGTCCACATATGAAGAGAAATGGGAACCAGTAACAAGGAGTAACAGAGAAAAGCAATAATAACAACGGAAATTGCAATATAAGCTCTGGTAAAAACATTGAATGATGACAGCAAAAATTGCAATATGAGCACTGGT